CGTCCCAAGACGGTGATGATACTAGTGAGATAGAAAGAGAGAGCAGGGTGGTTCAGAGTCATTTGCTCTGGATGGAACCTGTGAGCGAGAAACTATGATACCTCCTCTAGTGCAGGGATTCAGCAGGACTCCCTTGGCATATATGAGGAGGTAAAGTAGATGTAACTGAGGTCTTACCCCAGGCAGGGGGTTTGGAGAATAAGGGAGCTCAGTCACCAAAATACATCCCCCCTTTCTCCAGAGATGACTAACTCTTTCCTAGTGTGACTAACTTGGCAAGCTGTACCCTGTTTCATGTGCGGACCCACTAACCTCATCTGGCGCCCCAAATTGAAAGCTCAAAGGCCTTCTGGCCCTGCCACTTGACTTAGGCTTATTAACTGGACCGAAATTTATATTGGTTTTCATTTGAGAGATGGTATTTCCTTCCAAGTCCAGAGATTTCAAATCCCCATCCCCCTCTATAGCATCTTACCCTCGCACCAGTCTCATTTTATATATCCTTTTGCTCTCCTGATTGAGAAAGGACTGGATTTCACACCTAATTAAAAGAGATTGTATTGCCTGCTGTTTCCTTTCTTGCTCATTTTCTCTTGTGAGCAGGCAGCTTTTTATTCTCATGCTAAGTCCTATCCCTGGACCCCTGCAGCTTAAGGGACAGGCAGGAGCAAGGTTCCTGCAAAACAGAGAGTCAGGCCCTCTATCCCCAATTCCCCACAGGCAGATTTTCCCTTCGGTACTCACCCCTGCTTTAGCCCCTTCTGTGTTGTGCTCTCGCAGAACAGTCACTTAGAATACATGATGACGTTCATTACTGCAATTCCTTCCCTGTTTCTAGGGAATGCCATCACAGGCTGACTCTATATTTTTACTCTAGTGAAAAGGAGGTAAGTTATTATTTTAAAACAGAGAACTATTTTTATCACTTTTTCATTTTGCCATCAGTTTTGTGTTCATAACACTGTGCATTTTTTATTTCGGGTGGGGAAGAATCCCCAAATACACATAATCACATAATCTATGTAAAGTTTTGTAATTTTGTACAGTTGATAGGGAGGGTTGGGGTTTGGGTGTTTTTTTTTTTTTTTTTTTTTTTTGAATAGCCCAAATGCCTATTCAGTGCCAATCTAGGAAAGAATAGAGTTAGCATTTTCACACCATTCCTTCCTATACACTCCCTGAATAACCATCTAATCAAGATTTGTTTTCAATGGGGGACAAATCTTCTACAGTAGAGTATTTCAGATTTATTCCATTGGAATCTATACATTAATGTCCATTGGATGAAAAGGACATGCTCACAAAAGCCTGGACTTTGCCTTGCTGTGGCAGAAACTTTTTCCCACTGTATTAGTGTTAAAAATAAAAGAAAGCCTGGGAAAGGAATTGCCTCAGCATTGTGTGCTGGAGGAATGAGGAGCGCTTGAATGGGGAGGCAGGGTCCCCCTTCGCATCTGTACTCATATCAGCAAAAACGATTCAGCTTTTCATGACTGTTCACTGCAGTGTGGGGCCAGTGTACTCAGGGAGATATTTAAGAATTGTGTCTATAAAATTCAACCAGGCATGTCAGGTCAGGTTGTGTACCTGTGCAGGTTTAGGTTTGTCTCTGTGGTTTTTAATGAAGTTGGTGGCAATATTATCGCAGAAGTCTTAACTCAGACTATTTAGTGGATAACTTGATTGTGTAGATGAACTAAATTTGCAATCCAGTCCGGTCAGTTTGCATTTTTCTTATGAAATTGTGTGTGTGTGTGATTATGTATGTTCATTTCTCATCTCTGAAGGCAACCTTCATCATTACTTTCAGAGTCTTCTTTTTTCTGCTGAGAATTAAGGTAACTCTCGATCTTTGGGCACCTCAAGTTTCATTCCTCAGCAATCCACTGTTATGCAGTGGAAAAAGCATTAAGAGGCATAGGATCTAATCCCAACACTGCCATGTGCCACTGTGTAAAACTTTGGGCAAGTCATTTAGACATTTTGAGAGCCTCAACTTTCTCTTATATGAAATAGTAATAATAAGACTTGTCCTGAAGGGCTGGGCACAGTGGCTCATGCCTGTAATCCCAGCACTTTGGGAGGCCGAGGCAGGCAGATCACCTGAGGCCAGGACTTCGAGACCAGCCTGGCCGACATGATGAAAACCCATCTACTAAAAATACAAAAATTAGCCGGGTGTTGTGGTGGCACACGCCTGTAATCCCAGCTACTCAAGAGGCTGAGGCACAAGAATAGCTTAAACCCAGGTGCTGAACGTTGCAGTGAGCCGAGATTGTGCCACTGCACTCCAGCCTGGGCAACAGAGCAAGACTCTGTCAAAAAAAAAAAAAAAAAAAAAAACCGTCCGAAACACATATAGGCTTGCTATAAGGGGTAAATGAGATGTTACATGTAAAAGAGTTGTATACACTGTCAGATACTACGTGTATACTAATTATTGTGATAATTGTGATAGAGCTACTTCCCAGAATTATCTGAAAGAAAACTCTGTCATATATGACGTCTCTAGTGTTATTGTTGTAACCAATGCTGTCAGCAAATGTGTGTGTAAAGAGTGTTTTCACTTGTATAGAAAAAATGTAACAAATCCATCCTACACAGAGATGATCACAGACACAACCAGTTTTACTGCCTGTTGTTTTACTTAAATGAAAGAGACCTTGGTTATAGTAAAATTGTATATAGAAAATTCTACATCATAGTGCCAGTTAGTTGTCTTACTTCTTGCACTGTGATGTCAAAAAAAATAAGTTATATAAGTTGGACAACTGAGGCTATGTCGAAGCATGACAGCCTAGAAACATGAAAGCCATGGTAAATCACGGATAGGTATAGAAGCAGCTGGAGGTAGTGGTGAACAAAGCCTTTCATACAGCTTTACAACAGAGCCGTGGACCCCTAAGGGCCAGACCTCAGTCGGGGGCAAACTATGCAATATAATGAAGCAGTGAAGAGGGTGAACTGTAGAGCCAGACAGCCTGGGTTTAAATGCCAGTCTACCAGCAATTGCCTGTGCGTACTTGAGCAAGTTTCTTAGTTTCTCTGGCCTCAGTTTCCTCATCTGTAAACTGGGAATAATATCTACTCCCCATGGTTGCTGCAAGATTAAACGAAATCATATACATAAAGCAGTTAGAACCGTAACCCCTAAAAAATGTTCTCTTGTGATTACTATCGTGGTATGTATGTAGATTGAACTCAGCAAGAACTTGAAATTTGGTCATCTGCTGATTGAGTTCCTGAACAGACCTTCCTGGGTTATTTGTGCCCTTCTTTGGGGCCGTATTTTGTATTAACATGGTTACAGGGGATTTACCTTAATTCTTTAATCTGGCAAAGAGAACTTGTCTTATATAAGTAAAAACGATGGAATCTGTAGCCTAATACAATATTTTAGGCACATAACAGACCTGATAGAGTCAAAACAAGAAAGAATGCTCTTACACAAATTAGTGCAAATTGTATTATTGAACATTTATTAAGTTAAGCTCATACCATGTGAGGGTGATTGAGTGAAGCAAGGTAGAAAAGCTCATTGAACTGAGTTTCCTGAACAAGTCTTCTGTCAGAGTTTGAGGAGGTAGGCCTTCTTCCTGTCTGCAGGCTGTTACCTCTCAGGTGGCTTCTCACAAGATGGAAAGATTTGGGTCACAAGCCAACAGTCAGTGCTTGGGCCATTTGGTTTTGAAAGCCCACTTACTTCACTTTCTCAAGCTGATTGTTCAGTTGTAAAGGCCAGAGTGGGGAATCTGATTGAAGAATTATTTGCCGGGGAATTCTCTAGAGCCATTTGAGAGGTGACCTAGAAAAATAGAAAAGCCCTAAGATCTGCTGTGGCCACCTGTTTTCTTTCTCATTCTGAATCCAAATCTTATCAATATTATCCCTTGTCATATAGCCTATGTTATAGGGGTGGCACTGGGTCAGGCTATCCGCAGCCTCCACATAGCTGTTGCCTTCCTCCTGGGAGCTGTTTAATACTTCCCTGTGGCAAGTACATAAAGCACCCTATTACCCAAGGAGATCATATATCCCACTTCTGGTTTACTCCTGCTATCCTGGCCTAATTATTAACAATGCTCCCTTTCACTCTTGAAAGTGCCCTGCTTGAATAATAAATATGATCGCCAATGTACTCTAGTCTCCTGGGTCAGTACTGCCATCTCTGACCTTTTTAACACTCCTTCTTCATTAAGCCTCAGAAAATTCAGAAAACCTTCCATATCACATGCAACCACCCTAGAAAGTGCTCAGACAGGTTGTCAGAGATGACAAGAAGAATGAGTAGATACAGAAAGCAGCCATGGAGTGCCCCTTTAGCAAGCAGATTGCTTTCTGTAGCCCATCCATCATCCGGAAAGCATGGTCATGACTGTTTGGTAGACGTCTCAGTCTGGGTTGAATGTTCCGCGAATTTTTGCATACATGGTGTGGGTTTTGATAATATGCCATATGACTTAATAGGAAGGGGGTTTATTTGTTAACTATGAATATGGTCACTGTGTATGAATAAAATGAGGGACTTGGATAAGTTGAGGGAAATGTAAACTTTCTCAAAAAATCTGGGCTTAGGCCTGTCTAAAGTGAAGGCAAAGTAAATAAATGCATAAATAAAAATAAAGTGGAGGTATAATGTGCCATAAGAACAAGTCTTCCATTTGCCTTTCAGTTCTTTGCTGAAGCTATAGAAATAACAGGCAAACAAACCATCTGGTTATTAGGCCACTCTAACTCAGCCAAAGCTCTGGGCAATTAACATGGATACCCAAAATGGCTGCGGCGCTAAGGCAGGAATTGGAGAAAAATTCAAGGTCTTTTTCCCTCAGGCCATCGTACCTACAGCTTGTATACCGCAGCCTGTCCATCTCCCCGCTTGCGTATGTAAGGGGAGTGCTTCTAGGAGCCATGAGCATTACTCACCTGAAACCTAGGTGTTAGGAATGCAGCCAGCTAGATCTGACCCATGCCTGTTTTGTGTCTGCGTTGACATGCTGCAGGTGACATCAGTTGCAAGGGGATGACCGAGCGCATTCACAGCATCAACCTTCACAACTTCAGCAATTCCGTGCTCGAGACCCTCAACGAGCAGCGCAACCGTGGCCACTTCTGTGACGTAACGGTGCGCATCCACGGGAGCATGCTGCGCGCACACCGCTGTGTGCTGGCAGCCGGCAGCCCTTTCTTCCAGGACAAACTGCTGCTTGGCTACAGCGACATCGAGATCCCGTCGGTGGTGTCAGTGCAGTCAGTGCAAAAGCTCATTGACTTCATGTACAGCGGCGTGCTACGGGTCTCGCAGTCGGAAGCTCTGCAGATCCTCACGGCCGCCAGCATCCTGCAGATCAAAACAGTCATCGACGAGTGCACGCGCATCGTGTCACAGAACGTGGGCGATGTGTTCCCGGGGATCCAAGACTCGGGCCAGGACACGCCGCGGGGCACTCCCGAGTCAGGCACGTCAGGGCAAAGCAGCGACACGGAGTCGGGCTACCTGCAGAGCCACCCACAGCACAGCGTGGACAGGATCTACTCGGCACTCTACGCGTGCTCCATGCAGAATGGCAGCGGGGAGCGCTCTTTTTACAGCGGTGCGGTGGTCAGCCACCATGAGACTGCACTCGGCCTGCCCCGCGACCACCACATGGAAGACCCCAGCTGGATCACACGCATCCATGAGCGCTCACAGCAGATGGAGCGCTACCTGTCCACCACCCCCGAGACCACGCACTGCCGCAAGCAGCCCCGGCCTGTGCGCATCCAGACCCTAGTGGGCAACATCCACATCAAGCAGGAGATGGAGGACGATTACGACTACTACGGGCAGCAAAGGGTGCAGATCCTGGAGCGCAACGAATCCGAGGAGTGCACGGAAGACACAGACCAGGCCGAGGGCACCGAGAGTGAGCCCAAAGGTGAAAGCTTCGACTCGGGCGTCAGCTCCTCCATAGGCACCGAGCCTGACTCGGTGGAGCAGCAGTTTGGGCCTGGGGCGGCGCGGGACGGCCAGGCTGAACCCGCCCAACCTGAGCAGGCTGCAGAAGCCCCTGCCGAGGGTGGCCCGCAGCCAAACCAGCTAGAAACAGGTGCTTCCTCTCCGGAGAGAAGCAATGAAGTGGAGATGGACAACACTGTTATCACTGTCAGCAACAGCTCCGACAAGAGCGTCCTGCAACAGCCTTCGGTCAACACGTCCATCGGGCAGCCATTGCCAAGTACCCAGCTCTACTTACGCCAGACAGAAACCCTCACCAGCAACCTGAGGATGCCTCTGACCTTGACCAGCAACACACAGGTCATTGGCACAGCTGGCAACACCTACCTGCCAGCCCTCTTCACTACCCAGCCCGCGGGCAGTGGCCCCAAGCCTTTCCTCTTCAGCCTGCCACAGCCCCTGGCAGGCCAGCAGACCCAGTTTGTGACAGTATCCCAGCCCGGCCTGTCGACCTTTACTGCACAGCTGCCAGCGCCACAGCCCCTGGCCTCATCCGCAGGCCACAGCACAGCCAGTGGGCAAGGCGAAAAAAAGCCTTATGAGTGCACTCTCTGCAACAAGACTTTCACCGCCAAACAGAACTACGTCAAGCACATGTTCGTACACACAGGTGAGTGCCACCCCACCTGGAGGCCTGGCAGCAGGGGCTGAGGGGGCTGTGGGAAGGCAAAGTAAGAGAGCAGGTAGAAGGGAAGGTTTGGGATCATCTTTCAGATTTTAAACAGACCCCACCACAATCCTCTTCTAGAAGCCCCAACTGTGTTCCTCCCATCATAAGAACAAAGCACCCTGCCACCAAGAGACACCATCACAGAAATCCTTTATGGAGAAGGGATGTCCTAGGGATGTCCAGACCGCAGAAGAGAAGACTCGGGGCATCATATAAGCCATATTCAAGTATTTGTGTTTCAGAGGCAGCATATTGTAGTCAGGAAGAGCTGGAGCTCCAGAGCCACATGGCCTGGCTTTAAATTCAGCCTTAGCCACTACTAAACCTTGTCACCTTGGAACAATTACTTAACTTTTCTGTACTTCAGTTTCCTTGCATATAAAATAAGAATAAGCATCATACACCTTCCTTATAGTGCTGTTTTGAGAATAAATTACTACATGTGAAGTCTTTAGGGTAGTTCCTAGCACATAATAAGTGCTCTATAAGTGGTAGCTATTATTAAGATGGTTAAGAGGAGCAGACGTCCAGTTTGTATAGTTTGGCTCCAAAAGGTAGAACTAGACCAGTGATTAGATGCTATCAAGAGATTCTTTCCACAAAAGAAAGATTTTGTTAACAATCAGACCTGTTCTAATATCAGATAGACTGCCTTTATATGGAGTGAGTTTCTGTAATTAGAGGCATTCAAGGAGAAAACGGATGAACATTTTTAGGGATTTTGTACACAGGATTCAGTCATCAAGATGGGCAAGATTGTGTTTCATCCCTGGATTCTGTGATTCCAGAGCTAAGATCTCCTGATCTCTCAGCCAGTCCTTTTTCTTAGCTCCATAATGGGACAGAGATATGGAATTCCCATAGAATTGGCCATTGGCCATTCCATGGATGTGCCTCCATATAAGTGAGTACCTAAACGATTGTGATTTCACCTAGATTCTCTTGGACCTAAGAATACCTGCAACACTGATGATCATTATATTTGAAATCCTTTTTTTTTTTTTTTTTTTGTGAGACAAGGTCTCGCTCTGTCACCCAGGCTGGAGTGCAGTAGCATGATCTCGGATCACTGCAGCCTCAACCTCCCGGACTGAAGCAGTCCTCCCACTTCAGCCTCCCAAGTAGCTGGGTCTACAGGCACATGCCACCACGGCCATTTAACTTTTTTATTTTTTGTAGAGACAGGGTTTCACCATGTTGCCCAAGCTGGTCTCAAACTCCTGAGCTCAAGCCATCTGCCTGCCTTAACCTCCCAAAGTTCTGAGATTACAGGCACGAGCCACTGTACCTGACCTCCGAATACCCTTATTAAATGACACATAATTTACCAGGGAAAAGTTACATACTCGAATTCTGATACATGAAAACAAATTAGTTTCTCAAAACAACCTTGTTTCTCAGGTCAAGTAGTAGGAATCCAAGAGACAGGACATAAAACAGCAAAGTTTAGATTGGGGACTGAAGGGAAAGAAAGCAACAGAGATGGAGACAAGGCATCAAACATGGAATTGTACAACTCAAATAGAACATTACTTAAGATAAACTTTGCCTTCTTTACAGTGTAAGTCAGGACATTATGTAAATTAATGTGCGTATTTTTATGAGAATCAGTTTTTAAAGATCACTGTATTCACACTTCCAAATAAACAAAGTGACTCACTACTGAATTTAGGAAGAAATTTGGGTAGTGGTAAGTCGCTATGTGTATTTATAGGGATAAATGTGAATGTGCTAATGACCTGAGGTCATTCACAATAAATTTTCCATATGGTTTAGGTATCACCATTATTAGGTGAAGTAATCAAATAGTAATGTTTTTATTTTGTAGCAACGTATTATTTATAGAGTGTTAATCACATAGTTTATATCCTTTCCTCCCCCGGATAGCTGTTTTATAAGCCAGTAAATTAAGGAACTTGGGGGGAGGGGTATAGGAAGGACCATTTGAAAGTATCTCCTTAGCCAAACTTGACTTTGCTGGTCTTGGATCCATAAACATATCTACTCTCCCCTCTGTACGTCTCTTCAAGTAGACCTATCAGATACAAAGTTAACACATCCCGTTAGATCACATACTAAGGTAAGTCTTTAAATTTGCAACATAAAATTTTCAGTGTACTACCAAAAAATATCTTCTTGATGTATAAATACATTTCTCCAATGGATTCACCAAAGATTCTGTGGTTAGCTGAGATAACTAGATTTGGACGTGAGAAAACCAACAAAGGATTTGTGCACTCAGACATTATAGATGCAAAAGCTATAGGTAGAGTCATTTTATAAATCTGAGTTATGCTTAAAGTGTGAACTTCAGTTTTCTAGTAAATTATGAACATCCTCAGTAAATTATGAATGTTATTGTAATGGTATGTATAATATAGCCCCACCTGAAAATAATAATGTGCATATATCAATCAGGCCCCTAATTTAAAAGAAGTAATGCTCTTCCCTTTCATTCCAGAATTATTTGGCAGTGCCAGTTCGGAAATCCTATCGGTCTTTCAAGACTTTTGTCTAATTGAAGGATCCCCTAACCTAACAAAGTTTTAGAACAATTGGTCTAGATTTTCAAAAAGCAAGACAGCCGGGACATGTGGAAATAATTCAAGACCTGGGTTCATTGTAGCTCACATTTCTAAATGTGAGCTTTTCAATTTCTGGGGAAAACATAAAAAAATGGAACCTCAAAACTTTACAAGAGCCCAGTGGAAGTGATAAAAATTCAAAGCAAAAAGTCCAAATGTTAGTATAAAAAGGTTCTAGGGAGCATGGGGATACTTGTAAGAGTAGGGTTGGACTCTGTGTTCCCACCCATACTCTAACTAAAAAGAATCCTAAAAAGAAAGAATAGCTTGACAAAGTTAAAAAGAAAGACATTTGTGTTCTCTCCATCACAGCTACTATGCAAACCAATAGACCTGCAGAGTAACTGTCTTAGCAATTCAGTAACTCCAAAGTTTAATATAGATGGTAGTTGCTTTCAACAACTGCAGAGATAAATTGTGTGTGATGGAACACACCAATAGTCCCAGATACTCAGGAGGCTGAGGCGGGAAGATTGCTTGAGCCCAGGAGTTTTGAGGCCAACCTGGTACCCATCTCTTTAAAAAAAAAAAAAAAAAAAAAAAAAAAAAATTCTGAATCAATTCTAAGATTCTGAGTCCAGTTAAAATCTTGTACTGCTCTATGTTAATGATCCACATTCATGAAAGAGTGTTTGGGGCCAGGCATGGTGGCTCACGCCTGTAATCCCAGCACTTTGGGAGGTAAAGGTGGGAGGATCACTTGAGCCCAGGAGTTTGAGACCAGCCTGGACAACTTGGAAAGACGCCAGCTCTACAAAAACTTTAAAAATTAGCCAGGCATGGTGCTGCATACCTATAGTTCCAGCTACTTGGGAGGCTGCAGTGGGAAGATCACTTGAGCCCAGGAGGCAGAGGTTGCAGTGAGCGGAGATCACACCATTGCACTCCACCCCGGGCAACATAGCAGGACTCTGTCTCAAAAAAAAAAAAAAAAAAAAAAAAAAATGTGTTTGAGACCAAGAAGTAGTCCGTCATATTGACTTTGGAGCTAGGCTCTACCTTTAAGAATCAAGGAAGCTTTAGTTGTAAAGTATATTTCATAGTGATTATAACACAAAAATTTAAAGTAGAGGCACAAATGAAAGACGATTGTACTGGAATTAGATGATTTGGATCCAGTTTTGTTTCCTCTAAATGGCTGTGTGTCCTTCAACAAGTCAGTTAATTTCACAACCCTCTGTTTCTTTGAGTTTAAAATAAAAATGATTTTTTCCTGCCTTCTGATGTAAACGTATGATGCATATGAGAGCTTTTCAGAACAGGCAAAGTGTTACTTAATTAGAAAAATAAAAAATCCTCATCAATTATTACTTTTCGCCCCTAGTACCCAGGAGACACTGAGTTGCTTTGCTCTATTTCCTGTCTCTGAATAATACACGCTTGACATGTCCTTCCTCTTTGGAATTTAAACACTGGAACTATTTTATACTCCTTAGATTGCTCTTGAATGTTCTTCATAAAATAATTTTCTTATTCCTTAACAATCTTTATAACAGTAAAAATGAAAATTCCTCACCTAACCAGTCTTATCCACTGCTAAAAAAAACCACAGAGGACTTCCTTGTCTCTAGGAGTTTCTTTCATTCACCTACTGCAGCTGCATAAAAGTTGTGAGAAAGGAAACTAAGAGTTAAGGGCATGTTTGAAAGCAACAGAATTAGAGGAAAAAAACCAAAGATAATACAAACCATCCTGTCAGGGAACAAAGCAGTGCTCACCTCTACCCCCTTCCATCAAGAGAAAAAAGCAGAAGTCAAATAAAGGAATGGAAATGAAAGGGAAAGACAGAGAATATAAGAAGGATAAGCCTTGGTGTCAACGTGGATATGGAAGGCAAGCAATAGGGAAAATTCAAAGATAACCCTGGAGCAGCGTAATCCCCACACTAGCAGCATGCAAATTATGTTCCCCCACCCTTCACCCCCGCCCCAGACATCCTGAATCAGAAACTCAGGCGATGGAGCCCAGCAATCTGTAACAAGCCCTGGTTCATGCTGAAGTTGAGAATCAATCCCCTAGAGAGGTGAGCGTGGGTAATTAGAAGGATGGCATCAGGTTGCTTTTGTTACATAACATTATTTTTAAAAATTCCACTACTAAGAATCTGTTTAGAAAAAGTAAATCAAAATTGTGGATCAAAGCTTGATTTTGTAGTGGATAAATTATATCACAGAAACTAATCACATATAAGAGGTAAGTTGAGTTTTCCAAATTACATAGGTCACAGGGCAAATGTATCCCTTCTGGTATTTAGCAGTACTGACTTGTATTACTTATATCTTCATGTATTAGCTTAACACTTTCCCCTTAGAATGTAAGCTCTGTGACAGCAGAAACACACACACAGACGTACAT